AGCAGCGGCGGAAGGCTTAGGCGTTAGCTCCTTTATGTTTGATGTGGTTGCTTTGGCTGGGGCAGAATCGTCGGATTTTTCAAGGTTGTGCTCAATCCATTAGATGTTTCAAGTCTCGGTTTTGGGGTGTTTTATACAGCTGGGTGTCGGGAAGAGTGAATCCCAGATTTATTTGTTATCTTAGATTTTATTGATGATTTAGTTGGTTAGGTCCCCGTTTTGCGGGATTCGTTTTGTATTCTTTTAGCATCTTCTTGATGCTGTGGTAATAAAATTTATTTATCAAAAAAAAATCCAAATTATAGATTAAGTGGTTTTTCATTTGAATTACTTAGTTTTTTTTTTTTCTTTGCTTGTTTGTCGGTGTGATATTCATATACATAGAAAATCAAATATAAAACAATATATTTTTTATGTATCCTTTATTTGTACATATCCTACTTTTCCAGGAATTGTTGGGTCCCTATTTGTGTTCGTATCCATGCTACTTAGGTGATAAATCATAATTCACAATACAAGTAAGAAGAGAGGTATGCCAACCTTTGTTCAACAAATTTAACCTAAAACAAACAAAATTTAAGTTAATAATCACAAATCTTCAAAGAATCAACTAAAAGAATAATGATTTAAATTTATAATAAATAAATAAACAGACCTAAGTTCATCTAGCCTTGTTAGCAACTCAAATCTTGTAGATCTTGAAGATTGGAGAATCAAACAATGTAGATCTAAGATTTGTTGCCCAAGTGTGTCTCACAAGAGATTTTAGTAGCTAAAAGCTCAAAATAGTAGGCCTTTTATAGTCAAATCAGCTAAAAGATCAACTAAACCAAACCAAGCCTTAAGTCCCATTAAATGGGGTTGGCTACATGAATCCTTCTTCTCCACGGGCCCTATCAAAGGCCATTTCATTAGTCAAGTTAAGTAGATTCATATCTCTATTTATATCGCTAGTCAACGTTAATCTAGGCCTACCCCGTCCCCTAATACTTTTATCTACCGTTACAGCATCGCATCTCTTCACTACTGCCTCTGTTGGTCTCTGTTGAATATGACCAAACCATCTCAAACGATTCTCTCTCAACTTATCTTCTATCGGTGGTACTCCTACCCATTCCCGAATACACTCATTCCTAATCCTGTCTTGTCTAGTCTTACCACACATCCACCTTAGCATCCTCATCTCAGCCACACTCATCTTATCTACATGTTGTTTCTTGGTTGCCCAACACTCCGTCCCATACAACATAGCTGGTCTAATAGCCGTTCTATAAAACTTACCACTCCGGCACAATAAGCCCCAACAATACCAAACCCTCCTTAAAACAAAATACCTAAACACACGACTACCAATCTAAGCTAAGTCACTACACAAACCAACCATGAAAGGTGACATAATTCACAACACATCCACGTTTAAAAAAATTTAAAAAAATAAAAAATAAAAAAAATCCTCATTTTCTCGTTTTCTTTGAAAATCTCACTCTTGTATATTTATTTATTTATTTTGGTGAACATATTACTTACATATCTTATATATGTATATGTGTTCTTGTATATATGGTGAATTTTTTTATTCAAAACTTGACTCTTCTGATGATAAAATTTTGATTTTGTCCCTAATTTTGATAACTATTGTGGTGGGAAAAAATTGAACCACCAAGCTGCGGCGGTGCTCCGACGACTGTTGGACTCTTATGAACCTGAAAAACACTCACATATAGTGAAGGGTCTGGCTATGGAGCAGCCTGGGAACTCTTCGATGCCTAAGTTAGCAAACAAGTTGACAAAAGAGGGCTACTTGTAGCTCATTTTTGCTTCCCACAACTATGTAAGAAGGCCTACTCGAAATGTAATTAACTATTTTTTTTTAATTTTTTATTTTAAGTCTACGTTAGAGTGTTTGGTGCAATTTTTGTTTACAGCTTATGAGGTAAATATAACTTAAATAAGTTTTAAAAAAAATGTATTTTGTGTGGTTTGGTGCAACTTATCTGACTTGTTTAGAATTTTTTATTTTAGGAGTATGTGACAAATTGTTTGGTACAACTTTTACTTTATTAGCTAAAAATAACTTAAATAAGTTGAAGAAAAATAAATTTATGGAATCTGGGCAAAGGGTACTTTTGCCTTCTGCTTTTAGATTATCAGCTTTTAGCTTACAATAAATCACACTAAACACACCATTTGAAATCGGGGAATTGGTACTTCTGACTTATGTTTTCTTATTATTAATTTTTAAAAATAATTCTTCCATCTTTCCTTAATCTCATCATCCTTCACCAATACCTTAGAATCCTCACTCTTGACGCACTTGATTAAAATCTCTTGTTTTCCTCTCCCGTATCTTAGCAAGTTTGTATACCCTCTTCTCTCCCTCCTTACTATCTAGTCTAGTGTATAGGTTGTCATAAGCTTTCAACTTAGTCTCTCTCACTACTTTCTTGACCTCCTTATTAGCCAATCTATAGCTCTCAAGGTTTTTCTCAGTTCTATCCTTTTGCCACTTTTTAAAGCACTCTTTTTTTGCCTTAACTACTGCTTGAACCTCTTCCCTCCACCACCAAGTTTCCCTAGAGCTGGGTCTCGTTCCTTTCGACTCTCCAAGCACTTCCCTTGAGATTCTCCTCATACAATTGGCCATCGAGTTCCATATAATGTTAGCATCACCTTCTAAGTCCCAAGTAGCTTCCTTATCCATTCGATTCTTAAATATTTCTATTTTATCCCCTTTTAGGTCCCACCATCTCGTCCTACGACGCCCACCATCCTTCCTAGCTTGGTATTGCCCTGCCCTCTAAAACATAAATCTAGTACCAAAATCCTATGTTGAGAGACCAGACTCTCTCCAGGGATCACCTTACAATCATTGCATTTTAGGCGGTCCACTTTACTCGCTAAGAAGTAATCTATTTGGCTCTTAACTAATCCACTCTTAAAGGTTATCAAACGCTCCTCCCTTTTCTTATACATAGTATTGGCTACCACCAGGTCAGAAGTCAATGCAAAATCTAAGATACTCTCTCCAGCCTCATTTTTGTCGCCAAAACCGTATCCACCATGCACCCTTTCATAACCTAGTTTATCTATGCCCACATGGCCATTAAAATCTCCACCTATAACCAAGTTCTCTCCTACAGGTATCTCCTGTAAGATCTCATCCATTTGCTCCCAAAAATCCCTCTTAGTCTGATCATCTAACCCTACTTGAGGGGCGTATGCGCTAATAATGTTCACTATATTCCCTCCAATAACTAGTTTAACTAGCATAATCCTATCCCCTTTCCTAGTGACCGCCACTACACTTTCTACAAGACCCTTGGCAATTATGATTCCTACCCCATTCCTGCATCTATCCTTACCACTATAATATAGTTTAAAACCGGTATCCTTAATTTCCCTAACTTTCTCTCCCGTCCACTTAGTTTCTTGTATGCAAGCTATACTAACTCTCCTCGTAGTCATAACATCTACCAATTCTATCGTCTTACCAGTTAAGGTTCCTATGTTCCAAGTGGCTACCCTAAACCTATAGTCTTGGACTAGCTTCTTTACCCGCGCTCATCCAGAAAAATACGGGAACCTTTGCCCATTTTTCACCGCACTCAGGCGTCGATGCGGCGCCCCTTGCTCACTTTTCGAAACACCCGGAAGCAGGCGCAACGCGTCACTTGAGGGGAACGACCCAGCATTTAAACGATTCAAAGTAGGATTCATTTTCATAAGGGATCCGAGCGGCTTTTTTACGTGTTGGTTGTGGGCTACCTAACACACAACCCTCCTCTTTAACCCGGGCTTGGGACCGGCAGAGTTGTTAACAACCCCGGCGGAGTTCCACTGAAAGATCAACTATTGTTACGTAATGACCGTATTGACAACTTGTACCGGATAGCTATGACCCTTACATAATGGTAACGGACCATTACGCCTGGGATTTTCATTCACACAGGCAAAATCAGCCATGACAAATGGCAGTGTCCTCTGATACCACTTAAGCAACAACATTACATAACGGTGGTCACCACTCTTTTGAACACTAACTCAATCACAAAAGTGCAAAATGATCAAGCAAAACAGTACAATCCCTACCAGTCGAAGAGCAATCAATTTTGACAGATATCCAACTTCTTACTGGTAATAGGACTCTAGCACCTATGATGAGAAAGGACACCAGGGCTGCTTTCCTGTTTTCAAAGACTAAGGCGGCCTATCTTGATAATAGTGACAAATAGACTTATTTACACAAACAGTGCCAGAGAAATGGTCAAGAAAGTTACCACAAATGATAGGGGCAGATATTGGCTAATTTAGATCCTTCTCAATTGGACAAACTCAAAAGCCTTCTTTTACATGCTCTTTATAAAGAGAGATGTTCTAATAATCAAAATAATGGGGTTTTGAAATCAGCTCCCTTCAATAAATATCTCAGATTTCATTTTTAAGTATTGGCAGTTTGGTCTAGGGAAGGATGAAAAATATTCAAAGAAGTCCATGTGAAGATGCATATTCATAAGATCATAAAACTGAAAGCATTAAGATTGAACATACTAGTTAAAGATGAGACTTTAGAAAAAATATGATCAGCAGATAAAATAGTGAAGCACAACAAAGTGACTCTACTGCCAATTCAGAACTTGTTTTAGTTTATGGCCAGTCCTCTTGCCAAAGCACTGTACACAATGCTTTAGCAGAAGCCAAAGTTGCTTTGGCAAAAGCCTCAGTCCAAGTTCATTATAAGAAAAATTCAAAATAAATAGTATATCATTTAATTTATGCTTACAGAAGTTTGCTTTCCAAAAATATTTACGAATATATGACATAATGAAATTCCTGGATATGAACCACTTTCAAGGTGATGCATTGCTAATGAATAATGGTTAAATCAGTTGACGATGATTATCAACTTGTAATTTAAGACTGGCATGCATCAAAGTCTTAGTAACCATTCTTCCTGCAAGAAGACAGCATTAGAAAAGTACAACTTTACAATAGATGCTTACCTTAACCTCCTTATAAAGTTTCTTCTCCCATATAGACAGCTGCTCTAAAATTGATGAAAGGTTGGCAGTGTTCATGCACTCATCCTTCTCAAGACTCCCATTTTTAGCCTTAACCCTTTTCACTGCTACAAAACTCAGGAACCAAGAAGATAACACTGCAGTAAAACAGACAATTAGAAGGCTTAACAAGGAACTCAACTTTAATTTCCCTTTAGAAAGACAACTAATTAGTAACAAAATAAAATTTTCATGGTAGCCGAGGAGGTACACACGACCCCTTACTCGATGATCATATTTGTCAAATCCTACAATACTCGATGTGGTGATGGGGTTTGGAAATACCCTTTGGCCCAAACAGACTCTCTTAATCCTCGAATTGCTACCTGAAATGGGGGTGTATAGTCCGGTCGGAGGTGCTAGAATTAGTACTCCGATGGACCAGTTAATATTCTCTCGGGTTTTTCTTTTATCACAAGTTATCACTCCTTTTTCACATGCCTTCTATTTGGCTGATGGTCCTCCTTTTTATATTGCTCCTTCAGGGCCCCTAGTCATTTCCACAGGATCTGTGGCCTATTCGGCCCTACGAATAGGTTCTACTCGGCTACGGCCCTATTCATCACTGTATATTTGGCAGTCTTGAGGATAAAGCCCAATCTGGGCCGAATTAATCTCGGCCCCCACACTCGTATGTGTGTTCTATTCAATTTCAACCACTGATTATCAATGAATTTCAGGATAGTCGTTTCACTTCATACTTTCCAAGGTATGTTGGCAGCAGAATTTCATCGTAAGGTCTATAGTTTATTACTGTCAAAATTGGAAAAATATACTAATTGTTTAAATGTTTCTGAAATTAACCTATTACTAATATACTATCCAGTAAAAAATCCATCCAAGAACCTACAATTAGACAACTTTTCAGTGCAATCTATCAAGGGTTTGAAACCATTGTGTTGAATGGAGCAATTTTGGCAAGGCTAAGATCTGAGGCCAAGCCTTAGCACCACAATTATGCAACCTATGAGGCCTGAGAGGTGAGGCATTGAACTTCAGCTTCACACTCATTACTTTGAGCAAACCATTAACAAGAAACTATCAAATTATAAACAATAAAAGTTTTCTAAATGCATGTGAAAGGCAAGAATTGTATCAAAATTCATTAATCATGCAAAATTGCATGGTTTCTTGCAATACATTCGTGTGTGCGTGTGTGAGAGTAATATACAAGAAAAAATGTTAAATTGGCTCATATCCCAGATTCAACTCCATAAAAAAATTGCAAATAAATCACAATGAATTAAATTGCAAAAACTATGCCTCCAGATATCTTCAACATCCATTAGGAAACTCATTTCTGTAAACTATGATTGAAAAGGGTTCAGTGAAAGCCAAGAATTACAAGGACTACAAGATCAAAACAGTTAACAAATTGATATTGATGGCTTGCCCAACCCTTCATGAGCTTCTGAGGTGCACAATACAAAATAAGGCTTTTCAAACTTGAAAAGTGCACTTCATAAGAACTTCTAGAATAGTAAGGAATTAGCTGATTGAGAATCAAAGCATACTCCTCAAGGAAAATTTCCTTTAAGAAATGCCTTCAGATAAGTTGAAAGACATTAGCTTTGCACATTTCTTATAATGTGGACATCAGATATGTTTCACTGAATGCCCCTTCCAACATTTACAGTATTACCAGAATATTCCACGCATGCTAATTCTAGAAGCCAAAGGGAAACAAGGAAAAGAGGATGGAAGTAAAACATGAATACCATCAAAACTTTAAATAAATAAAATAAAAATTAATGAAGACATATACGAAAAAATTCCCAAAGGAAATCAAGAGAACCAGGAGAATAAGAAAGGATTCTAATGTATTTTTATGGACAAAAACAAGATAGCAATTGTACCTACTACACACTCACCCTCTTCTATATATAGGAATCATGAATCATTGTAATAGATATAACATACAATCAATCAATAATACAATTCTCTATTTCTCTTTACATTATATTTCTACACATTCCCCTTAACGTCCTTGTGATTTCCTATGATATGGGGAATCACATCAATCAATTGGAAAAATATGGGTCCAGATGTTGGTAAGAAAAAATAAATAAATTTACCAAAAACTTATATTGCAACAGTAATTATTGATATGCTTAACTTGTCTTTTATTTGTATCATATTAATGTAGATGTGATTGCTGGGTAGGAATTGATGGACTTAATTTCATCTGTTGAAATTTTATCCAACCTACTTAATCATATTTGTCAATTCAAAGTAAACAATAATTGAGTGGTGTAGAAAATGTGATGAGCTACTATAGGAGTGGAGCATTTCTTTAGTAGCTTTTGCTCATCAGTAACTAAATTCTAGGCAACAGAAATGATACTAAACACGGAAAGACCAGGAATCCCATTTGAAGTAAACTTCTAATTGAAGCTCCTCTTTACCATATTAATCAATGTTGAGGGACCATAATAATGGATGACTATGACTAGAATGAAGAAAGATGAATATGAAGATGATCAAACTAGAGCTTCTACCCTTTACTATGGCAGACCTAGGCTGATACTGAAGCTTGCCCATCTCAAGTGCTACTGAAAGTTCTTTCCCATGATCAAAAGCAGTCTCACATGCATCTTTGATATCCTTCAGCACTTCCTTAAGATCCCTTGATTCATATGTATTGATTGTGGTTGAGCTAACCTGAACTGGACATACACCTTCCTGTTCCAATTCATCTTGTACCTTGACATTCTCGCTACTCCCATTTTCCTCCTCTTCCAAGCAGTTTGATTTTTCAGAATTGCCCTCAGTATCTTTCTCAATGAATTCATGGTCCTTTTCCTGAGCTTCAGGGACACCAGGACTTCTAGTAATTTCTTTATCCCGAGCTAAAAGATCATCCTCACCATTCTTTAGTGGTGCTGACTCAGAAGGACCTTTACTTGAGTCCTCCTTCAACGGCACTGCCTCAAAAGAGCCTTCACCTGAATCTCCCTTCAATTGCACTGTCTCACAACGGCCTTCAACTGTATCCCCCTTATTTTTTACCTCTGTTTCTGTCTCCTTAGGTTGTTTTTCTACTGGGTCTTCCTCTTCTTTCTCTGCTTCTACTTCCAAATCAGGAATCCCCTCCTTTTCCCTCACTTCTCTCAAATCAGGACCAATGCTGCCGAAACCGGTTTCATATCTGCCCTCAAAGTAATATCTGGAAAAATTATCATCAATCACACTAAATGGATTGAGGTAGTCCCAGGAAGAGACCTCAGGAGGTGGAAGATTTTCAGGAGCATTACGACTTTGTCTAAGATTGTAACGAGGATCATTAGGCAGAAAATATATTGAACCACCATAGGGTACCCCATTTCCATACTGAGGGTAGCTAAAAGCAAAAGATGGAAAATTTGCCTCCATTCCATGATGATCAGACCTAAGATTATTATCTGGAAAATTCACATTTCTGTACTGAGGAAACCTAAGATCAGCTGGTGGCAAGTTCATTGGAGTATCAAAAGAAACTCCATCTCCATTTGGAGGGAAGTCAAGATTGTTAGGTGGGAAATTCATAGGACCACCAAAAGGCACCTCCTTTCTATCATGAGATAACTTAAGGTTAGGATGGGGGAAATTCTTCAAGCCACCAAAAGATACCCCATTTCCATATTGAGAAAACATAGGATTAAAGGGTGGTAAATTCATGAGACCACCAAAGAACCCACCATTTCCGTATTGAAGAAACCTTGGATTATTAGGCATAAAATTCGTAGGGCAACCAGAGAAAACCCCATTTCCATATTGAGGATACTGAGCCATTAAGTTTGACGGATTATGCCACTGAGCTGTTGCATCCACCACTTGTGGCTGCTCATAAACACCAGTGGACACCGCCTCTGAAGACTTCTGCGTTTGATATATATTTGAATTAACTCCTTCTTGGATCTCATCTTCCTCGGGAGATTGTTCTGAAAATTCTGAGCCTTCATGCACATAATCAGTCAATGAACTTATGTCTGTGTCAGACTCCAAGGATGAGATTTCCAAGTGAGAACCCTCCCCATTCGACTGATGATCAGAATGGGTACTTGAAGGTGGTTCAACACTAGTTATTACCTCTTCCTCAACTAATTTATGAAGTGAATTCCCTACATCTAAAAGGGACTGAAAGTAAGAATTGTGAGATGAAGCTAGGGCATACCTACAATCCTTGGCTGCCTTAATCAAATCCTTCCTCTCTCTACACAATTTCACTATCTCTGAATTATCCATCGTCGACAGTCCACAACCCATATCAGAACCACAGAATGTACAGCCCAAGAACAAAACCCTCTAACAAAAGAGAAGGCAAAAACAAGGATCCCCAACCCGAAACCCTGAAATCTAAAATCCAATTCCTGAATTGACTAGAACCACAAAACACTAGCAATTCTAGACTCAACCTCCTACGCAACAAATAATGTTGGCACATAAGCAAAATAACACAAGTCTTGCCCCAATTAAAGACACTATACCCAATGAGAATCCGCTTGGGATTACAACAACAACCCATCTGGCAAGGAAGTAAAACAGAACTATGGACAACACAAAAAGCAAAAAAAAAAAAAAAGTCTCAACATTTAATTCAGGGATAGCCACAGGCAGATTACAGATATGAAAAACATTATGATAGGAAATTATGCTAAATCTAGCAACTACACAAATGTATATAGAAAACCCATCAAAGCAAACACACAAATGCATATAGAAAACCCATCAAAGCTATGATACAAAGATTACACATATGTGCATTAATGTAATTAAATGAATGAAAAAATTCTGAAATCTTACCGTTGAAGTGGGCTGGGACAGTCTTGATTTGTCTCCATTCAATCTATAAGACTTCAGTTACGTTCCCTTTTTGATTTTTTATGTAAATTTTAGCAATTTTCAATTGTTGGGTCCGAAGATTTCGTAGCTCAGTGTTGAGTGTTATTGGGTTTTTGTTAAATTTTTTGGCTTTTTCGAGTGCTTTTGAGGGTTTCAGGGTTTTGGATACTTTGCGCCATTTTTGAATCGGAGATGCTTATATATATGCGGTTTGCTTGGCTGCTCCCAATTTTGTGTGTATATCACCATACTCTCGTTGTTGGGCGCGTGCTGCGACGCTAGACATTTAAGTAAGGTTTTTTTTTTTTTTTTTGAAAATAAATAAATAAATAAATAACACATATAAAAAAGTTAAAAATTCCTCCACTTTCACTCTACTTATTTTTTGCACCTTTTTTTTTTTAAATGTCAAATAATTATTTCCCAACATTTAGTTTAATTCATTTTTTTAAAAATGAGTTTTTTATTTTTTATATTTCTTTTTTGTTTTTAGTGAATTTTTAGAATATTTTACACAATTTTTTTATTTTTTAGATACTCCTAATCTAAATACATTTTTAAAAAAATTGTGAAAATTTTTTTAAAAAAATTCACCAAATACAAAAAAATATATATATACATTAAAAATTTTAAAATCCTGTATATTTTCGTATTTTATTGTATTCGATGAATTTTGTAAAGTTTTTTGTACAAATTTTATACTTTTAAGTATATCAAGATTAAGTAAATTTAAAAATTTTAAAAATATTAAAATATTTTTAAAAAAAATTGCTAAAAATACAAAAAATATGAATTAAAAACTCATAAAATTATTTTTTAAAACTCCAAACTAAAATTTTGTTCATCTCATTAACTTTTGATACATTTAGAAAGACTTTTTTTAAATTAAAAAAAATTGTTTTTTGTAGTTAGGTTTATTTTCGTCTAGTTTTTTTTTTTAGATCCGTAAACTCCAAACTAAAATTTTGTTCATCTCATTAACTTTTGATACATTTAGAAAGACTTTTTTTAAATTAAAAAAAATTGTTTTTTGTAGTTAGGTTTATTTTCGTCTAGTTTTTTTTTTTTAGATCCGTCTCTGAAAATTAAAAAATAAATAAATTTGAAGATTTATAGGCAAAAATAAGCTAATTTGTTTATTTTAATAAAATCTGACTAATCTTTGTTTTTATTAAATTTTTAAAAAAATAACTTAGATTTTAAAAAAAATTAAAAATATTTAATCAAGACAAATTTAAAAATTATAAAAAAAAAAAAATTTACTCAAAGTTAATAATAGCTTAGAAAGACAAAATAAAAAATAAATACAGTAAGTTTTTAGTTTTAGAGGTAGTGTTACCCATTGAGGTTGGGTATGCAATTGAATACCCTAAAAAAAATTATTTAATAATATATGTAATATATGTCAAATCATATTATTTGTCAATTTCAGTATCTTATCTCACTTCATTGAACATTCAATTAATCCAACTCACTTGTGAGCAAGGATCCTCTAAAGTTTTTTTTTCTTAAAATTTTTTAGAATGGTGCATTGTATGGTTGAGATTTAATGATAAGTCACGTCAATTTTTTAGCATTAAATCTCAACCACACTTTTTTTTTTTAAAATTTTTTAGAGTGGTGCATTGTATGGTTGAGATTTAAAAATAAATCACGTCATTTTTTTAATATTAAATCTCAACTACACAATACACCATTTTAAAAAAAAAAACGCTCTACAAAATCCTCAGTACTCACTTGTATTGAATACTCATTTCACTCCACCGAACACTCAATTCATAACCTATTAAATTTTTAAAAAAACATATAAAATAAAGTAAAATAAATTTTTTCTTTTGATTGTATATTTGTCTTATTTGTTTATTTATCCTCTCCGGCGTACATAACTATGTCGACGACAATAATGTATATATCCATATATTTGATTCCTTGTTCAAATGGTATGTTCATCCATATTCACAATTTATTGGCTAATAAATACCTATTTCATAATTAATTGCACAAATTAACCAGACTCAACGAAAAACAAGTATCATCAAAGTGATAAAAACAAAATATATTTATATAAAAGCCATTATTTATACATATTTTTTGTTTAAACAATGGTCAACTTCGTCTGGTGAGTAGATATGTCCAACATTCCTTTCATTTCTATTATATCAATATATTTATAATAAAAAAAAAATGTTTTTGGTTTGAGAAATCTAAATTAGTATATTTATAAAATTTTAAATTTTAAATATCTATTGTAAAAAAAATAAAATTGGAGTTGTCATTGGTTTTATCCATACAGTTTGCTTCAAAACAAATATTTTTATAAATATTTTATTTTTTAAATATATTTAAATTACGTACATCTAAAAAATAAATAATAAATAAACATAAAAATATGAGAAAAAAAAATTTACAAGTAACAAAACGAGAAACAGAAAAGCAAAAAAAAACTTTTTAAAAATTACAAAAAAACAAAATCAAACAAAGCTTGAAGTGGGTAAGCCCATAAAGGCCATAGCCCATTGTGAACAACCCAAGCCCATCACTTGAAGCCCAATACATAACCCAACTGGTGAAGTTCAAAACAGCTGGAATCCAACATAGCATAAAGAGCCAATGACATTCAGACATACGGCAAGTAAAGGACAAGCCACATCAGCAGACAAAGATCTGCAAAGTTATTGTCACTGCACATCACCATTAATGCAGCCCATCACAGCATTTATTACGACAACACCTCTCCGTCGGAACAGCACCCCCTTACCCTAAACAAGGTAAGCTACAGCATAGACTTTCGACCACGATGGCAGGTCAGAAGGAACAACGAAATGATGACCAAAGGATACAAGCAAACGTTGAAGACAAGAAGAAGGTTAAGTTTTCTATCTCCAATTCATCTCTCTACATTTCACTTCTCTCTCTCTCTAACTTGCTCATCAGAGGGTTCGCTGGGGGACTCCCCGTTCCCCATTGAACTCCTGTGCAGGTTTTCTGATGGGCTTGAACACTCAGTTACCGGTTGAAGAAGTGTGAATTAGTCCTACCCATTCCACCTGGGACCCGTTGTGTAGTAACTGTATCATCAGTTGGCGCCATTTATGGGAACACTTTGCTCCTCGCGCCAGTTGTGTTCACTGTCGCCGAAGACCCTGTTCCAATACCCCTTTCTCGCTACCCATCGAAGGGTATGGTCACGACTAGATCCATGGCTTCCCACCAAAATGCTGCCGACTACCAAGTCGACCCCCCCAATCCAAACAACCCACCACAATATTTCATCGAGCTTACCAACAACATTAACCGCATGGCCGAGCAAAACCAAACCCTGATCAATGCCCTGCTCCAAAGAAACCTTCCTATGCCCCCTCCACCACCTCCCGATATTCCCCCCAACTACGAACAAGCCCCGAGCCATACTATTCCGCAGCCTAATCCGCCCAACAGAAAAGGCTTGCAACCCCCTCTTCTAGGTATAAACCTACCACCCCGGGGCCCACAACCATCGATCCCGCTACCAATCCTTGAAGGAGAGGCTAGCAGCGTCCAGCCCTCGTTGCCCCTCCGGAGGTGACCACATCCCTCTCTGGGACGCGGAACTCTGAGCCATGAAGCTCCAACTCCAAGGGGTCATGCAGAACATCCAGCATAAACCCTCTACCACAGCAAACTCACCATTTGTTGCCTCCATCCGCGACAAACCTCTACCCCCCAAGTTCAAGATGCCCACCATCGACTCTTTTGACGGTACGACGGACCCAGTCGACCATCTGGAGACCTACAGAACCCTCATGATCCTCAATGCATTTCCTGACGAGATCATGTGTCGAGCTTTTCCCGTGACACTGAAGGGGTCAGCTCGGTTGTGGTTTAGCTAGTTACCAGCAGACTCCGTCTCCACTTTCTAGCATCTCAGTGACTCCTTCCTCAGCCATTTTATTGGAGCCCAGCGCCAGCGATGCCCGGCAACCCAACTCCTCAACATTCGACAGACCGAAGGGGAGTTGCTACGCAGTTTTGTTACCCGTTTCAACACCGAGACCCTGCAAGTAACGGAAAATGATGACAAGTCCATCCTCACTGCTTTCATGGCCAGTCTGCGGTCGTCCTATTTCCTGTTCTCCCTCTCTAAAAACCCCCCGACCTCCATAACGGCACTATTCTCCAAAGCCCAAAAATACATGAATGTTGAGGATTCCCTAGCCGTCCGGCAAGATCCCATAACCAAAAACCCAGCCCCCAGAGAAAAGAGAAAAAACTCAGAACCTAGAAACACCCAGTATAATAGCCAAACACCACATTATACCGACTGGTCCCCCCGAGCTAACTAATCGACGCCAGCCCGACCGCCCGATCGGTTCGAGCACTACACACCCCTTAACTCCCCCATGGAACAAGTCCTCAATCAGATC